CCTTGAGTTAGCATGGCGGCTCCGCGAGAGGTGGCCCTTTAAGACCACAGGGTCTTGGGCAGCAATCTCATGGACCCAGAGATTCATTGAGTAGAAGAGGCTTTGCTAAGTCTTCCCATCGCCTCCTTTGCCTCTAGAAAGGAGCCCCAAAGGAAGCTGTTTTCAAGATGCTGCCTTTCAGAGGCTTGTGCAGCTGTGCCTCTTCCTGAAACTCCCACAAGGGAGAACCCCTTCCAGGTCAGGGCCAAACCGAACCTCTCCTGCTAGGGTCAGAGTTCATGCCTCCTGTGCCTCCTGGGGGTGGGAGGGAAGTCTGTTTGCTCCCCCCTGGAGGGCTCTGTGCTCTCCTATGGGAACAGGCCAACGGTTTCACGGAAAACATGTTCCATTTTCTCTACAATTGTGAGGGGAAAGCATCTGTTCTGCCCCCCCCCCTTCCGACCCCCCCATCTTTTCTTTTCTCCACTGACTGACTATGGAGCAAGTTAGGAAACTTCTTGGAGTTTAGCTATCTTTTCTGTGTCCTGGAAATCACAGCATTGTCCCCAAACCCTCTGTAAACCCAACGCGCTGCTCTCAGGTCGGTGCCCCTCATAAAGACCCAGAGGACGGAGCGGAACTGCCCCCTGTGAGTGTCCCAGACTGGGAGGCTTTCCGGAGTAGAAAGCCCCGCTTTTCTGCAGCCGAGAGGCTGGTGGTTTCAAACTGCTCACCTTGTAGTTAGCCGTCCCATCCCCAAGCCACTGTGTCACCCAATCCCTACCCTTTCCATTCCCTCCTACGAAGACGGAAGCTGGCCAGTGCAAAGAGGTGGAAGGAGAAATGACGCCTTCGAAGCCTGGTGTTGGCAGAGTATTGAACGTGCCCCGGACTGTCAGAAGAGCGAACAAATCAGTTCTGGAAGAAGGGCAGCCAGAACCCCCCTTCTCTCCACCGGAGACCCGTCTCGCTCCTTCTAGACGCGGCACAGCTGGGAAAGGACATGATGTCTGGTAGAACGGAGCGGCGTGTGCATGAGGGGAGGGGCTCAAATACACCAACAAGGGTGAGGCTGGTTTGGGTGCCCATGAAGTCACCATGCGTGGGAACCCACGACCAGCCCCAGCCTGTCCTGCAGCGCTGTACGTGAGGTGAAATGCCCGCTACACAGGCCTTCAGGAACGTTTCACGGCCCTTTCTCTGTGGAACAATCAGTCGGTGTTAACTTAGTTCCCAAATAATTTTTTTTCTCGTGTAATTTAGCACTTTATCATTATACACTAGTATTTTATGTGATCCGTCTCATGGATACCATGTTTTATATACTTTATCATTATACATGGACGGCACATCCATATCAAATACTGCCATATACGCTGTTTTGTTTAAATAGCTCGTTTCTTCATCTAGAATGCTGGTTCCTAGTGGCCACCGGTGGCCCAGTCTTCCACAACACGTAGCCATCTAGTGGATCATGACCCCTGGTGACCCATCCATGGAGCAGAGTGGAGCCGCCCCAGAGAGTTTTCTAGGGTGTTGCAGTCTGGATAGGCACAGTTCACCAGTCCTTCTCCTGCAGAATGTGGGAAGGCATTGAAGCACTCGTCTTTTGGGTTAGTGGCCAAACCCTGAGCTGTCGTGGCCCCAGGGCAGTGAATCCTTGCTGATGACCCTGATTGACAGGGCGATGATCTGTCGTGGGTCTTTGCCTCTCAAACTTGAAGCGTGTGACCTGTGTCTCCACCACGCCCAACACATAGGACATACGGAGTGCAGTTTACTTTGCAAGTCCATTCTGCAAACTTTTCCCTCGGGCTTCACCTCTCCCAGGTTGGTTTGCTTCTGGTCTAATCTGTCTCTGAGTCCTCCGTATTTTAGGGACTAGAACACTGCTGGACTCTTTTCTCTAAGACCGCTTCCGAGGTTCTATGTGAGGATGGAGGGGAAACCACAGTGGAAGCACGCCCCCCCCCACCTTTGCTCCAGGTCCCCCTCTCCTGGGGTATTTATTGTGTACCTACCTGCCCATGGCTTCCTTCTCAGATACGCAGGGACAGCCAGGTTCAGAGAATTACCCGGGAGCCTCCATCCTGATGACCTCTTTTACTTTTGTCAGGGTCCTCGCCTGAGCTTGTGGGAAACCAGGTGAGAAATAAGTGCCTGGCAGAAGCAGCTTCGCTTGGGGCCCCTGGGGACGTCGGCTGAATGAAGTCCTTGCCTGGATTGCCGTTGGTTTTGTGGAGACGGTCCAGTGACCCCAAGGGGGACAGTCAGAGCCCCCGTTTGGGGTTTCTGGAGCAAGCCTTGCAGTGTCTCCACCATCTGCCACGCAGGCCCGCCAGATTGGGACACTTAGCGTCTGTGCCTGACCTCTCTGCAGGCGGCGCTCTCCTCTCACCCCCAGCTTGGCCTCAGTAGTCTCCTTGGGGCAGCCCAATGATGTAGGTGTGCATAGTCCACTAAGTCTTCCCCAAGGACTCCTGGTGGCACAATGGTTAAGCACTTAGCTGCTGACCCAAACTTGGGAGGTTCAAACCCACCAGTAGCTCCATCAGAGGGAAGACTTGGCAATCTACTTTCATCTAGAGTACAGTCTACGAAACTCTGGGAGGCGTTCCACGTTGCCCTTTAGCGTCACTAAGAGTCGAAATAAACTCAATGGCACACAATGAGAATAAGCCTTCCCTGCTCTCCAGCTGTCTCCTAGCTAACACTCTATGAGTTCTTTAGCTGACCAGCTCCTGGCTGGAGCTTATGCAGTATTTCCAAGACACTCCGGGTTTTATAGAGTGGCTAGGCTGTAGCCCAGTGTGATGGAGGCAGTCTCTATTTGGGAGAAGAGACTAGATATCACAAGGACCTTTACTGGGTTCACATATTGAATTCTATGCAAGACTTTAGTCCCAACTTAATAAGTACAGGTAGGAAGAGCAAAGTATTGTATTGTGCTATATTGTATTGCAGTTTGCAATCATGTCTATAGCATTTACTGTGTGCCAAATACTGTTCCAAGTGCTTTACCAAAACTAACTCGTCCTTATTGCCACCCCACTCTGCAGTTAACTGAGACACGGAGAGGGTACGTTAACTGCACCATGTCACAATCAGTAATTGGCAGAGCCTGATACAACCCCAGATAGGCTTGCCCCAGAGTCTGCCCCGACACGGCATAAGGAAAGAGATGGGCAGCTCTGGCTAAGGAATTCAGAAATCTAAATTTGTTTCCCCGGCTGCTGCCTCCCTGTTCACAGGAAATTGGGTCCCAAGTTCTTTTGTCTCGTGCTGATGCTGAGCTCATTCACCATGAAAAATATCGCCCACTAAAGAAACAAACCATTTTGCAAAACCTTGGAATGTTAGCAAATGGTGTTCTGGAGCTGGTGGTCCATGGAGGGGAGCGCAGGAGATTTATTTCAAGAGATGGTGTGAGGCAAAGGAGCGGATCTGCACTCTGGCCCTGCCTCTGTCACCTACCAGGTGCCCCGTTGGTAAGTGGACTGGGCCCTGTGGGTCTCCATTCCCTTTCCTGTTCCAGTTGATTGCAGGTTTTCACCAGCTTTCATCATCAGTGGGCATCGTCATTGGTCTGACTGGGTTCTGTCCACCCACAGTGGGCTCTCTCATTGACATTGATCATGCTCCAACGGGGCCCATGGTTAAATGAAGTTGAAGATGGGTAGAAAGATGGGGGCTGTGAGGAAGAGGTGCTTCACAGGTTCAGTGTTTACTTACCTTTGGCAGATGATCTAACAAGAGACGACCTCACTCAGTCAGTTCCACTTGGGGAAAGGGCAACGGGATGAATCTTGGCATTGGCTGACGTGATTAGAATCACTTTGTGTAACTTGAATTCCCTGAACCTCACTTTCCTCAAATGTGAAACGCAGAAAATGTCTACTTTGCAAAACTGGAAGTTGGTGTGATTAAGTAAGTAGACAACATAGATGGCGTGGAGCTCAGTGCCTGGTACATGGAAAGTGATCTCTTCCCAAGGGAGGAGGGGAAACAGAGGAAGCGCTGGGTGGTGGGGACCTGGTGGCTGTGGTGAGTGCTGTTTGGCTGTGATTTGGGAAACCATGCTTCCTGTTCCATCTGGCATTCAGCTCCCCGATGTGGGTATAGTGGCAAACCCAGCCACAGCACTCGCTGCCAGCCAGTTGATTCCGACTCATCGTGACCCCACAGGACAGGGTGGGGCTGCCCCTGCGGGTTCCACTACTGTCCCTGTGGATGGGAGTAGAGCACCTCGTCTTTCTCCCATTGGAGCGCCTCGGGGGTTGGAACGACTGATCTTGCAGTTAGCAGCCCAAAGAGGAACCATGATGCCACCATTGCTGTAGTGTGCGTCGGACTCCGGGCAGCCCCCTGTGTATCTCAGTAGAACTGTTCTCCATAACCCTTTCAATCGCTGATTTTTTTAAAGTTCATCTCCAGACCTTTCCCTGAGGCATCTTCCTGTGGGTGGCCTTGAACCTCTAACTCTTAGCAACTGCTGGCACCACCGGGGAATCGGTGATAGATGAATGAGGCCCCTTCTCATCCAATAACAGGAAAAGGGTAGGGGACAGGGGTCTCTCAGGCCATGGCAACTTGGCTGCTGCCTTCCCGGAACATCCGAGGCCCTGAGGAGTCAGAGGAGGCTGGGCGAAGGGGTGGGCAGGCAATGAGCAAGGGCAGCCGGTACCAGGCTGGCGGGCGACCAGGACTAGGGAAGGGCAGAGGCTCTGCTGCGGGTCCTCACTCTGCTCTAGGCGGCAGCTCTGCGCCCCCAAGCCGTCCACACCCTCCCTCACCCCCACCCCCACCCCAGCCGCCCTGGTGGGAGAGGGGGCGAGGGGAAGCTAAGAGGGAAGGCTAAGGGAAGGCACCAAGATCCTGAGCCCGCAAACGAGAGAAGGGAGGGAGCAATCCAGACAGGGAAAGGGGTGGGGAGAAAGAGTCGGAAGAAGTGGGAGGAGGGAGGGTGACAGACGCCGGTTAAAAAGGGGGTGGGAGAGGAGCGAGTGGCAGGCAAGGGAACAGAACAGTGGGGCAGCCGGAGAGGAGGCAGAGTGTGAAGGAAGCCCTCGAGGATCCCTCCCGGGGAGGAGGAAGAGAACCAGGTAAGGACAGACATGACTGTTAATGAGAAAACTCCAAGCCAGTGGGAAGCCAGCAGAGAGGTTGCGATCCAGGCTGCAAGAAAGCAAGATCTTTCTCTGTACCCGTGCGTTCATTCCCTTCTCATCCCACCCCTGTGAGAGGGTGAAGTTTGGATCCGGGGAGGAGGAAGGACGGTTTAGCTGCTGCAGCAGATAAGTTGCTGATGTAGGAGGAGCTGCCGCACTGTGAGTGGAAGGCCCTGGAAGGACCGTGCACTTTCTCACGGAGTTGAAATGACCCACAGGCTCTTAAGAAGCAACCCGCTGGTCCATTTCCAAGCACTGGCCGTTAAGGAAAAAAAACACACGGGGTGCAGCAAAAACCACTCTTGTTTTATGATGCTTCCTCTAGGCCTGGGATCTTTTTTGAAATGCTTCCTGAAGACTCCAGAGGACTTGTTTTGAGGGGTTCCCCCCATTAGGCATGCTGGTTTAAAAATATTCCCGGCTAAATTTCCTGTAGAGTATTATATGCCCCCCCGGAGCCACAGCGGCTCCTGGGAAATCCAGCCTGCCACTCCCTGTCTGTCTAGCTGTCTGTCGGTTGGAGTGTGGCAGGTGGCTGCGAGGACCAGAAGGCAGGAGAGGAGCCATGTACTGCTCTTCCCACCTGAGAGGAGGGAGAGGGCTCCACAGAGAGGTTCCCCGGCAGCTCCCTCCCCTCTTTACCGAGCTTATAGCATAAGCATCCAGTCTGGACACCAGGGAATCTGGGTTCTGGTCTCCTGTGTGACTTTGTACGGGGCACTTCACCCTACTGGGCCTCAGTTTCCCCATCTTCTTCCATCTGCCCATGCAAATAAATGAATCAACTGAAGCAGCGCTCACAGCAAACCCCTTGCCGCTGAGTTGATGCCAACTGCTGGTGACAGCGTGTGTAGTAGGGCTGCTGGGGGTGGTGGGGAGGGGAGGGGGTTTCTTGCCTGGAATCTCTCCAGAAGCTGGTCACCCGGCCTTTCTTCCACGGTTGCCACTGGTGGGTCCAAATCGCCAACCTTTAGGACAGTCGTGGAGTGCAAATGGCTTGCTCCACTCCGCGTAGAGCTGAAACCAAAGGGGAACTGGACCCCAGGGTCCAGCATACTGACCGTGGCTTTCTTCAGTCTTTCCTTGATGCCCTCTCTTAGTACCCCAAATGATGGGCGAATTCCCAGTTCTCGTCTGCTTATTACTGGGGTGGGTGCCTGTTTCTTGCATCAGACTCTGGCACACCAGGGTTCTGACTGGCCCGAGAGAAGGAAGGGCTGGTGCGGAGAGCTCTGGACTGTGAGGTCAGAACCGGGGAAAACCCAGACAAGCTGAACAGAGAGGAGGCAGAGCTTCCGTGTGGAGATGGGGCACCGTCTGCCTGCTGGGGTGGGCTCATGGCTAAGTTGATATTTCAAGCCCACATTCCCGTCAGCAGGCCCAGAGCTGCCATCTCCCCGCTCTTTGCCCAAGTCACAGCCCAACCCAGAGACTGATTCATTGTTCTCTTGGGACACCTCTGAACTTTCCACCTTCCTTCCACCACCCTCCCCCTTCCCCACCCCGACCCCCCACCCCAGCCCCCGTGGCATGGCTGTTTGGAGACTGCTGCCAGTGACCACTGCACAAACGGCAGAGGACCCTGGTGGCACCCTCTCATCCAGCCACGTGAAATTCCCAGAGCCACGGAGTCCCAGAGTCAGGCGGCTTGCTCGGTCTTGGGCTCCCAGAGGTGTGCTCCCTGGGTGCTGGGAGCAAGTTGTAGAAAACATGACTTGCACAAAATTATGTGTTTCCACAATGTCAGGTTCATTTGCCTCGCAGGATAGCAAATCAATAAACTAATTTCACGGAGCCCTATGCTCCTGTGAGTTAGTTAAGGGAAGGAAGGCAGGCACACCACGTGGCAGTCCAAAGTGAAGGGTTCAGCACACAAAGTCAAAGGCAGGATCCCTGGATTTGTGATTTCTGGGCTTGTCAATAACAGGTGCGCTTCGTCCCCAGTCACTCTTGACCCCCGGTGGACTGCTTGACCTTGGCGACACAAACAGCGAAGGTCTCACCTCAAGCAGTCGCAGCAGACGCTCCTTTCGGCTCGGTAGTGCGGCAAGGCCTTCAGCCCTCGGAATTTTGCAAGAGGGGGTGGTGAGCTCGCAGGACTGCCACGGAGGTGTCAGCCTCCAAAACCCAAAGGCAAACCCAATGCCATCGAGTCGATGCCGACTCCTCGCGACCCGATAGCACAGGTTCGGACTGCCTGTGAGGGTTTCCCAGCCTGTAACTCTTGACAGGAGTAGAAAGCCCCATCTTCCTCCCACAGAGCTGCTCATGGTTTCGAACTGTGGACCTTGTGAGTCACAGCCCAGCGTGTAACCACGAAGCCGTGCTTCCCATAGGGTTCTTCACGTTCCACGCTTGGGTGCACTTTCTTGGCCTCTCTCTCTCTGCTCCTTCGATTGGATCGGCTCACATTTCAGCCAGTGGCACCACCTGTCCACCTGCTTCTCTTCGTCTTGGCCCCCATCTTGGGGGTGGGGGCTGAGTGCTCTGAACTCCATAACCAACTGTTGTTCTCCCCTTAACCTCACTCACTCTAGACTCCAGAGTGTCTGAGACTGAAGAGCCCAGAGCCGAAGGCTAAATATGGGTGCAGTATTCCAATGAACCCGGCCTTTCAAATCCCTGGCCTCCCTGGAGCCCAAAGCCCTTGAAGGCATGAGCTGGATGAGCCCTGGGGACCCGTCAGTGCCCACTAGCAGCCTATCCTGTCCTCTCCCGACTGACCCACCCAGAGAGGCTGCCAGCCCTGTTTCAATCGTCCGAGTCTCCGGCTGGGGGCCCTGGTGGCATCGTGGTTATGCATTGGCTGTGGTACTCGTGGTTGGCAGCTCCCCGGGGGAGAGACTTGATTTTCTACTCCTGTAACAGTTACAGGAGTCTCAGAAACCCACAGCGGGGATCGCTATGAGTCGGCAGTGAGTTTGGGTTTGGGAATTTGGAGAAATAGTTTCAGACAGGAGAGGTGACTTGTTCACTGTCACTGCTTAAGAGGGACAGAGGGAGGATCTTCCCTCCAGGGTGTGGCCTCTCAAGCAGTGTGCTTCCTCAGACATGAAACGACAAGGGACCAGGTTCTCTGATCTCTGGGTCAGGTTCACACAGCATGCGCAGGGAGGGGGAGGTGGAAAATGATAGCACTCCCTCGTTTCTCCTGGGGCACATTTGCTGGCCTGCTCCTCTCTGTGCTGGGGCGCAATGGGCTAGGGAGAGGGCGGGGCGGGGGGAGGGTGTGTGTTTTTGTTCGCACCCCAGGCCCATGCCAGCATTGCCAGCCAGCCAGAGCTCAGCGGGGTTTGGAACAAAACATCCCAGAGGCCTGAGGAAGAAGGTGGACTTCTTTGTGTCCCCCAACATTTTCCTCAGGATTCACGGCACTGCAGAAGAAGGAATGCTGAGGTCGGTAAATCTTCCTGTGGGAGACGCACGAGTGGGGGCCTTTTCCTACATGAGAGAGTGCATCTGTTTCTGGAAGGAAGCACACTGCTCTTGAGTCGATTCTGACCCCCGACGACCCCTGTGGTCCAGAGTCGGGCTCGTAGAGTTTTCTTGGTTGTAAATCTTTTTACAGAAGCAGTTCACCAGGACTGGCTTCCCTGGGACCAGTGAGTGGGTTTGAACTGCCAACCTTTAGGTTAGGAGCTGATCACAAACAGCTTAAGCCACTCAGGTGCTCAATGGCTTCTTTGAGTCTCCCTATATATTGGTCTCAGGAGGGAGGGTTAGAAGGCCAGGGCTCCGGTGACTACAGGGCAGCGCCGTCAGAGATGGATGATACGCAGATGCCCATCCCAGAAGTGAGTGAGAGACATAAGCAGGGAAGGGCCCTGGGTCTAGCAGCCAGTGGGGATGCTACCCTGTCGCCTAACCTTGATTGACACCCCCCCCAACCCCAGCTCTAGACCCCGACAATGGAAACAGGGCTGGCAGCCTCTCAGGGTGAGTCAGTCAGGCCAGGAACACTGGAAGCCCAGCTGAACTTGGGACCTGAAGGGTCCAAGGCCCAGGCTCTGCTCAGTCTCCCAGGGAAGGCTGACCCACCAGGAGACCTAGCTGCTCTCTGTGTGGGCTGACTCCCCTAGGCCCCGCCCTCGTCTTAAGGGTTGATTCAGCCTGATGCTGATTTGTGAACCAGTTGTTCCCGACACAATAGCAAACAACGGGCCAGAAAATCCTAGCACCCAGCACCCAGCACCCACCCACCTTTGTAAGAAAGGGGCAGGGAGGACTGAGTCACGGAGATGCAGCGTCTAGAGATAGCACAGAAAGCACTTTAGAGTTTCTCTCTCCAGGGGAAGCCCATTGCCGTGCGGTGGGTTCTGACCCATACCAGTGCTGCAGACAGAGGGGAACTGCCCCATAGGGCTTCCACCGCCAGAATCTTTATGGATGCGAACCACCCCATCTTTTGCCCAAAGACCGGTGGGTGGGTTTGAATAGCTGACCTTGTGGCTAGCTCATTGCTTACTCGATTGCACCATCAGGACAATAGGGGTTAGTAACTACTGTCCTTTTAAAGTTTAGGGAGCCCCAGTGGTGTGGTGATTAAGCCTTGGGTGGCTAACCGCAAGGAGCCCACTAGCCGACCCATGGGAGAAAGACAAGACTTTCTACTCCGGTAGAGTTAACAGTTTCAGAAACCCACAGGGGCAGTGAGTGCTACCTGTCCTATGGGGTCACCAGGAGTGAGAATCAACTTGATGGCAGTGAGTTATGTTTGGGGTTCAGTTTATTTAATGAGGATCAGATACCATGATGTATTTAAGATGGCTATCACATAGGACGTGCTCAGTGAACAGTAGAGCAATAGGATAGAATCCAGGTCACCTGGTCTTCAGCCCAGGGCTCTACAGTGCATCGAATTTCATACGAAATCTTTTCTACAGAGCATGGCATAATTGTAAGAAGATACTGCTTGGTTTTCACGATCACAGAAT